CCCAGAGGAAAGCTTATAGCTGATTGGATGGAAAGCAATGATGAATTGGTACTATTAAACTCAGGACAACCAACACACTTCCATTCAAGGAGCGGAAGCACCAGTAGCATCGACCTAACAATGGTAGACAGCGAGCTTGCAGCTGACTTCTCATGGTACACCATGGACCACACGTTTGATAGTGACCACTTCCCCATTGCAATAAAAATCTTATCAGGCAATAACACTCACATAACTAAACCTAAAGAAAAGTTTCTTTTTAGCAAAGCAGATTGGGTCCTCTACCAAGAAGAAACGGACAGATTAATTCATGGACTTCCAAAAATAGACTCTAGAGACGGAGTCTCAGTTGATGAATTAACCGAAGAATTCACGGAAATTATCCTAAAAGCAGCTCATGTAGCTATACCTAAGGCAACTAACACCAGACGACAACAACCATATTGGTGGAATGAAGAATGTAAAAAAGCCACAGAGGAAAAAAATAGAGCATACCGACTTTATCTTAAAAATGCCCAATCTGATCAAAGCCTAGAATTTAAAATTGAATTTATAAAAAAAAGAGCTGTGGCCAGAAAAACACTCAAACTTTGTATCCTCCATCAACAATAATACACCAACCACTGAAATTTGGAAAAAATTCACTGTATAAATACGGGCAAACAGAAAGATCACTCTACCATAGTCTTGGACAACGAAGAAGGAGTCATGACAGCTCATCCGCAAGAAACGGCGAACATACTAGCAAAGTCCTTCGCGGAAAACTCAAGCTCCTCCAATTACGAACATCAATTTGTGGCTTACAAAATAGACCAGGAATCTAATAGACAGCTAAATACTCAGGATAACAGTAATTCCATCAATAGAGAACTATCAATGCTAGAACTGACGAGAGAGCTAACAAAATTAAAAAATTCCAGCCCAGGTCCTGATGATATGCCAAACATATTAATAAAAAATTTATCAGTCAGTGGTCTGTGCTATCTTCTAGATCTCTACAATCTCATATGGACCCAACAGATATTCCCTAATAAATGGAAGAATGCATTCATAGTACCGATTTTAAAACCTAACAAAAAGCCCAATGACCCTAAAAGCTATAGGCCTATAGCTTTAACGTGTAACATCGGAAAATTAATGGAGAAAATTGTTGCCAGAAGACTCCGTTGGTTTCTAGAAGAAAAAAAGCTTATCTCTCCAAACCAATATGGTTTCAGACAATTTCGTTCTACCCAAGACTACTTAGCTGACTTCGTAACCCAAGTATGTGATTCACTGGCAGTAAATCACGCACAGATCACAGTAGCATTGGATATAGAAAAGGCCTATGAGATGAGTTGGAGATTCGGGCTGCTAAGAACTCTTGATAAACGAGCAAAGGTAACATACTAGCGTATACCAACAATTTTCTGAGTGACAGAAAAATCCAGGTCAGAGTTGACGGAGTGTTATCAGCACTAACTCAGATTGAAAATGGACTTCTCCAAGGAGCAGTGCTGATTGTCATTCTCTTTTTGGTCTCTATTAATGACGTAATGGAAGTGATCCAGAAACCAGTCAAAGGAAGATTATTCGCTGATGATCTATCAATTTCTTGCTCAGGAAAGAACTTAACATCCACAGCCATTCACATACAGCAAGCTCTGAATAACTTACAAAAATGGTCAGAAAGGTGTGGTTACAAATTCTCCAGATCTAAGACAGAATTTATCATTTTTTCCAGAGGAAATTGGAAAAATAATGTCACCTTACAGCTGAGTAATGTCAAAATAAAAAAGACGAATTGCATTAAAATACTAGGAGCCTACTTAGATGACAAACTAACATGGAAAGATCACTTGCAGAAGTTAAAAGTTGAATGTAATAAAAAAATGAACATATTGAAAACAATCTACTCGACCCATTGGGGAGCTGACAAACATTCTCTCCTTCTCACGTACAGAGCAGTAATAAAATCAAAGATAGATTATGGAGCCATCTTCTACGACACGGCATCTAAAGCTAGACTAAAACAACTTGACAGTATACACAACCAGGCCCTACGACTTAGTCTAGGAGCCTACAGAACAAGCCCAGTCATCAGTTTACTAGCAGAGGCTGGTGAAGTCCCATTAAAGCTCAGACGTGCGGAATTGTTAGTAAAATACGCAAATAAAGCCAAAGCTCAAACAGATGACCCAGCCTTCAAATTCATGAATGACAAACCGGGAACAGACATCATCTACTCAATCAAGAACGCTAAAACGAAACCACCAAGAGTCAGGTTCAAAATGGTATCAAAAGAGCTTAGTATCAACGTGCCTCAAGCATTACCAAGGAAGCAATCCAATCCACCCTGGGAAAAATTTCCCAACATAATCAATACTGAATTAACGGACCTTCAAAGAAACACAACAGTGCAACAAACATATCGGGACTTATTCGCAGCAATTATGGAGAAATGTAAAGAATACAAGCCCTACTACACTGATGGATCAGTGAAGGAAGGGAAAGCTAGCTGTGCAGTTGTAAACAATCAATTCAAGCAAGGGTATAGACTGTATGACTTTTTGCCAATATTTACATGTGAAGCTACTGCAATTTGGATAGCATTAAAAACAGCTATAGAAGATCAGGACAAAGGAATCATCGTTATAATAACTGACTCCATGTCATGTCTCACAGCACTACAAAATACAGACAATATGTGCCCTTTGATAATCAACATCAAAGAAATTCTCAGTAACTTAATCAACAATAATAGAAGAGTTGAACTAGTGTGGATCCCAAGCCACCAAGGGATCAACGGCAACGAAGAGGCAGACCAACTGGCTAAAGAAGCAACCAACAAGGACATAATTGATAAGTTGCCTATAGTTATGATCCAAGACACGAAGAAACTAGTTAAAAAAACAATTCTGACTTACTGGAATAACTGGTGGGTAAAAGAATGCAAAACCGACTTGGGCGAGATCAGAGAGTCGATCATGGAGACCAACCCAGTAGATACTTTCCCCAGATGGGAACAAGTGGTACTCACCAGATTGAGAATCAGTCACACGAAAATGACTCATGAACACTTGATGACTAAAGAACCAAAAAGCAGATGTAAATGGTGAGGAGTGGAAAATAGTGTCCAACACGTCCTAGTAGACTGCCCAGAACTATCAACTAGTAGAATAAAAGTGAAACTCCCCATGGGCATGAAGGAGTGCCTTAGTACTACCAGCGGCTGTTCCAGGACCATCGACTTCCTCAACGAGTTAAATATAATAAAAGACATATAACTTAACTGATTAATGAACTAAAATTATATACTGTAATTGTAGTCGCTAATGACCAAGAAGTTAAGGCGACTTTAAATAAAAAAATAAAAAAAAAAAAAAAAAAGAATTAAAATAAAATTTCAAATTTTATAATGTAAAATTTGAAATAAAATTTAAGAAAATAAAAAAAAAAATTTAATTGAATTTCAAGTTAATTAATTAAAATTAAATAACCATAAAATTAAATTTTAAATAGCCAAAAAATTTAATTTTAGAAAGTAGTAAAATAAATAAAATTTCAAAATTTTTTTTTTAGATATTAAATTAAAATTAAATTTGAGAAAATAAGAATTAAAATAAAATTTCAAATTTTATAGTGTAAAATTTGAAATTAAATTTAAGAAAATTAAAAATTTAATTGAATTTCAAGTTAATTAATTAAAATTAAATAACCATAAAATTAAATTTTAAAATAAACATAAAATTTAATTTTAGAAAGTAGAAATTAAATAAAATTTCAAAATTTTTTTTTACATAGATTTGAAATTAAAATTAAATTTTAGAAAATAAGAATAAAAATAAAAATTTCAACTTTAATAATGTAAAGTTTAAAATTAAATTTAAGAAAATTAAAAATTTAACTGAATTTCAAGTTAATTTAATTAAAATTAAATAAACATAAAATTAAATTTTAGAAAATAGGAATTAAATTATTATTTCAAATTTTATAATGTAAAAATTTGAAATTAAATTTGAGAAAATGAAAACTAAATTAGATATTCAAAATGCTTTTTTTTTCATTTTATAAAATTAAAATAAAAATTAAATTTCCAATTCTAAATATACCCTGGCGGTTTCATGCTCACGGTGGATTCAAAGTGAGTCTATAGTGAAAACATCGTCGATTCACGGTTGATTAATAATACGGTCGTTTCACGTTATATTCAGGGTTTTAGTATAGTCAATTAACAGTGAAAAACTGGTGTATTTGTTTCGTTCCGTCACTATCTAAGGATGGTGAGTAAATAGTGACAAAATAATCGTTCCACTGAAGAAAAGTTGTTCCTAATTCATGAAAATAAGACGTTTCGACCGTCGATACACCATGTTTCTACTGCGGGGAATGAGTATTTCGAGGTCGATGTTTCAGGAAATGATAGTGGTAACGTTGTTAATTGACTACGACTCGACCAGCAATTCACTACGTTTTCACCGTCAATTCACGACGATTCGACAATTTTCTGGCTGTCAATTCACAGTAGAATTGCTTTCCTTTCACTGTATTTTCCCGTTTGTTTATCTCATGTACAATTAATAATAAAATAAAGCATGGTATCCTTGAACGCATATAAGAAGAAAAATTATACTTAAAGACTCAATTTTCAAAATATAATCTTGATGAAATCTCAAATTCTATAGATATTTTACATTAAATTATATTAATTCAAATATTTTTTAGTGTACAAAAACTTACCAAAAGTAAAACATACCAAAAGTACGCTTGGGACGGATTCATTACCTTTAAAAATAATCAATTTATATTAAAAAAAAAAATGAGTCGTGTTATTAATTAGTATGAGATAATTAATTTTAAAAAATTTATTATTTATCATAAATACAAAACATAGAAAAATATTATTTTTAGTAAAATATTCGGAAATCAATAAATTCACTAATACATAATTATTTATATGATCAACAAAAATTATACTCTACGCAACAATACGTTCAGGAAATAGAAAAATTTATCCTCCATCAATCTGTTTCCCAACAGTTTGCAAGTTTGATTGCATATGTTGCTCCGATGGTTGTTATTTTTATCGCTGGTCTTATTCTAGAGGTTTCTTGAATGAAGTTGGTATGATTTTTATCAACTTCATGAATAAATTGAGTATCAAATCCATAGCAAGCATGTGAAAAATTCTGAGCAATCAAACCTGAAATCAAATTATCATCTATTTGAAATTGGACAATTTTTTTAATTTCAAAAAAAAACTTCATCACGCTCATTGAATGCAAACGAGTTTGAAACTTTGATTTGGAGTTGAGGATTTACGCTACTAAATTTGATTCCATTCAATCGCATATGTCCATAAATATTGATTTTTTCTGGTGTGTAACCAGCTGCACGTAGAACAATGCGCTCACCTTCAGTTAAAGATCGAATCGTAGGTTTTCCTTCCAAAACAAATTTATCAGCGAATCCTATTTCTACAGTTTCATCGACAACTTTAAGTTTTTTAACAATGTAGTCCCTTGTTTCAGAAGCGATAGACTTGTCAAATGCTGAAGTGTTGAGAAATCTTTGCATCAGAAAACGTGTGGCGATTTGATCTTCGCGAGCATTCGGACTACTTAGAGATTCAATAATATTCCGGTTCCAAGCCTCAAAAATAAAAGCATTGTGCACCCAAGAAGGACCCCAGTTCATTACACATCGAGCAAGATGAGTTAATGAATGGATATTCGATGTCATTTTTTCAGTACCAAAGAACTCTTCAAATAACTTGACATATTCCTTCAATAACATTGACGCACGATCCAGTTCTGATAACGTTATTGAATCACTATTCAAGTAATGCATAGCTTCTGAAAGAAGGGCCAAATGATTAACGTATTTTTCCTCTAAAACAGGTTTTAAACATGCTGGAGCATAGTCCAACCAGTTCCGCCATTCGGAAGCTTTCCATTGCGCGTAAAAATTAATACTTCTAGGAGTTCGAGCTCGACGAGGAGGTTTTATAGATAATAATATTTTATCAATTATTTTTATCACATCAGCTCCTAGGAAAGCTGCATGCATAGTATCAACGACTACACCTTTGGTGATACTAAATAATGGTAAAGCTGTTAATGCAGAAAATCCTTTTATACCATGCCGCTGAATACCTTCTTTAGTCACAAATTTCATGTCCGCTAACAACTCGCAGTCAGTTCTTAATTTGCCATAAGACTGACTAAATGGATAGATGAATTTTCCTCGTGACAAACTTTCACCTTCCGCATAACAAAATGTACAGCCAAAGTAACCATTAAAATTTTTTATGCGAACCACTGCTGCACGAGCCGGCGCATCTAAAGTGCAGGTAACGACAATAAATTTTGAAGTTACTTTGGTTATTTCAGAAGGTCTCCACGTTACTCCTTTTGTGTACAATTTTCTCAATTCTGTTGTAAAAGGTCGCAGCAAATTGTTCATCTTGGGATGTTTGTCATCAACAAATATTGCTGCTAACATTACATATTTTTTGCGCATATGTGGCGGCAATTCATTGAGCTCTACATACACGGGCCAAGCACTCGACCGAGAAGAATTAGATATTTGACAGCCGTCAGTGTTCATAGTGAAAGAAAAATTATACCATTGCTCCAAAATCTGTCCTTTTGAAGATAGTTTTTTGTATGTTTCACCGTCATAGATGTCTTCTATCGCATGGATATTTTTTTTTGTCTTGAAAATCGGTATTTTAAGCATTGTTCCATGTTGGGAATTTTCAACAATTGTTTTAATTGTGATTTCAAGCTGATGTATAAAAAAAATCCTAAATGTTCTTCAGATTTTGTAGGTCCACATTTTTTACAAAAACATTCGATTTGTAACATGTCACGATCATTTTTCCGACCTAAGTATGTAGTGCACAACTTACAATAATAGTAGCGTGAAATTATTGAGTTATTGCGGCTTAATGCTCTCCATAACGCTGCTTTAGTTGTTGGCAAACTACTAAATACATGTGATGATTTATTCCACCGAAAAATGTCTAAAACGGCTTCATACGACATACGGTGCTTTATGGATGTAGCAATAACGGACAAAAAGTGATCTTTCATTTTTATATTTTTTTTCGGAATTAGTGGATATTGGTATTTGGTAGAAAAATTGATAGATAAAAATTCAGCCTCGTCACTTTCATTATCTATATCATTGTCACCGTTGTTATCATTATTATCGGTGTTATCATTATCATCGTTGTTATCATTGTTATCGTTGTAATCATTATCATCGTTACCATTATTAACTTCTACCTCATCAGTAAAAGTATTATTCTGTTCACCAACGTCCGAGAACACAGTTTCATTGTAATGATTATTGTCTTCATCTTCATCATCTTCAGAGCTGTCGGCATCTGTACTGGTATCAGCAGTTTCTTCATCGTCAATGTCTGAAGTGTTATATCTCAACAAATTATTTGACGTAATTATTTAACATTCGCACGATTGATATCAACATGATTATAAATAAATGCATTGTTTGATACTGGCTAAAAAAAAAAAATAAATAACTATTACAGTTTCCAAATAAAATTATGTCGTGTGACAAATGTAAAAAGGCCGTATTACAGCTGTTAAATAGAAATTTTTATCCAAATTTGAATTTTCTAAAATAAGTAACATTCGTCAATTTTTAATATTTTTCAAACATTCAAACTTTTTCGAAAATTTTGATTTTTTTTATTTTAAGGTTTTTGAGATTTTAACAATTTTGATAGCTTCCTTTTTTTAAAGTAAAAAATGAAAACTAGAAATGCAAGAAATAGTTAAATGGCTGAGGAAAAAAATTAAAAACTGACAATTTTTTCTCTACATTATTATTTTAATTTTTTAATTTAAAATCGCTTGGCAGAAGAAAAAATTTTTGTACATTCTTTTAACATTTATCACGCGATACGTTTTTAAAAATTCTCATGATGTTACTTACCAATTTATCAAAGAAATTTTTGGGAATACGGACTTTTGTTCCGAAAGTCGAAAATAATCTTTTCAACTTGCGCTTGTTTCGCAAATAAATTGCCGTGCGAGATGTGCCGGGACGTTTACTGTCGGACATTATTGACAGTGCATCATAATTCAATAATTATGGTAGTAACAATTTTTTCATCCACTCTCCTTAACTGGTTCGTAAGTATTTATTTAAAAATAATCGTTTTGTTAGTAACCTATAAAATTAATAAAAATAAAATTTGCTGTTATGTACAATTTAATATAAAAAAATTTAGTTCTAACTGAATTAATAATTATTGAAAAACATTAAAAATTATTAGACGTTTGATAGTTAGAGTATTGTATAAAATTAAAATATTTTTTGATATTTTTTTCTATGGCAAAACGGAGCGTGAATTAAAGAAATGGATCACTTCTAAGAAAAATTTAACTTGTTTATAATGCTCACCTATAAGTTTTTCAAACTAAACCTTTTCCAATAATACTGTTTGGTTAACTGAATTATTCATTAATACATTGTAAGGAAACTTGTACACTTGCTTAGTTGATGGTATAAATCGCGTTTGTTTATATTTAATATTATGGTTATATCTCCGCATGTAAAGTAAACTATGACAACAAATATGGCGGCGTATGTAAGCCAGGAGCAATTTGTTAAAATTGATTGAAATGAAGCATGTGTGCAACTGAAAAAGAAAAAGTTTTGATGCTTGCGCAAAAAGTAACTCGCAAAGTTTATGCGCATATTTTTAGCGCAAAAATTTCAAATATTAAAGAAAATAATTTTTTTTTAAAAAAATAGGTTTAAAATTCATAAGCAATGTTTTTTTTAAATAAGATAAAAAGTTCCAATTCGATTTTTAAAAAACAAATTTTATTATGTTTTATTTAAATCTTCAATATTTTCTTTTATAACATTTGAAATTTTTACGCTCAACAGTTACTCGCGGAGGCTTCACGCAGGTGTCCTTTGCGCATGTTTAAAAATTATTTTTCTATAAAGGCACTTGTTATCGTTATGCGCTATAACCTATAAATTAAAAAAATGTCTACTGAAATAAAAAAACTTAAAAAGCATGTCCTCATAAAATATAATACACCTTCTGGTATTGAGAAATTGAAAGTGGTCTATAAGCAATCCATTCATCAACGTGAGAAGAATGATGATATGTTACCAATTACTGACTTGGATACCTGGGATTCAAGCTTATTGTATTCTGTCAATGGTGAAAAGATGGTGGGGCCCATTATAATTTTAGACGATGATGGTAGGTTGGAAAAAGATGATGCGGATTTAGTTACATATATATATATATATATATATATATATATAT